AAGGGCACTCTACAAGCCATCAACTTCAAAGACTAGTCGACCTAATAGAAGATGGTTTCGAAAATAAAATGTACACAGCGACTCTATTCCTAGATATCACGCAAGCCTTCGATAGAATATGGCTAGATGGTTTAAAATACAAAATTCTCAAATTAAACATTTCACAGTATGTTAAAGCAATCGTACTATCGTTCCTTACAAATAGAACCTTCTCTACCAAAATTCATGAACACATTTCCTGCAAATCACAAATTAGAGCAGGAGTTCCCCAAGGAAGTGTCCTATCCCCAATACTTTATAATATTTACATGCATGATATCACCCAAGCTATAAAAGATGACATAGGTATGTTTGCTGATGACACGGTATTATATGCAAAAGACTACGATCTGTCGGTAGCCATTAATAAATTACAAAGAAATGCCCAAAAGATAAACAAGTGGCTAAATCTATGGAATCTGGAAGTAAACGCAAAAAAATGTGCTGCAAAAATCTTTACCCTAAGACAAATAAGAAACCCTCAACAACTCGAAATTAACAACCAATCAATAGAATGGAAAAACAAAGATAAAGCGGTGAAATATCTTGGAGTCCATTTAGATACAAGACTGACATGGAAATTCCATGCCAATCAAAAACTTAATCAAGGCTATAGTAGACTAGCAGAATTATAATCTATTATAAACAGGAAATCCGCGCTTAAACCCGAAAGTACCATTCTAATCTACACCTCATTAATTCGTCCATCAATAACGTACGCATGTGAAATCTGGGGTAATACGGCTAAATCAAATCTTAAAAAATTATGCGCTTTTCAAAATAAAATTTCAAGAACAGCAGTGGACGCCGAATGGTTCATAACAAACAAACAGCTCCATAAAGAACTAGGCGTCAAAACAATAGAGGAATTCATTGCATGTAAAACAAAGAATTTTCACGAAAACCTACGCATGTGCGATCAACAAATATGTACAATTTGGGCAGAAGAAATATCCATCAACGATTACAACGTAGACTTCCCCAAGACCTATTCATAAATTAAAAAAGCATAATTATAATTGTATATTCCCAGAAGAGTGAATGTTGACTTCCCTTGCCATACATTGTAAATAGTGTAAATTTATTTGAAAAATGCCATGTATAACTATTTGTAGTTGGTCCGGTATGGAATAAATTAAAAAAAAAAAAAAAACGAAGCAACTCTAAAAAGAGGATATTTTAATTAATAATTGGCGATATTTCCATAAGGATCCTTCAAGAAATGAATTTTATAGCGAATTTTGAAATTTATCGATGAAAATTGCACCATCGAAAATTTTATCAAAACTTCAAATATTGTTTTCTCGAAAACTAAAAATTATTTTTCAAAACGGATTGATTCGCTGTAAAGAAGACACTTTTATTAACACTTAGGGGAATTTTCATACTCATATTCGAAGAACTGGATTTTATACGAATTTTTAAAGTTTAATCGGCAAAAATTGCAAAATTCGAAAATATTGTCGATCATTTCAAAAATTTCTAAAAGCGATTTTTCAAAACGGCTTGTTGCATTAAAAAGAGGATACTTTAATTAATAATTGGCGATATTTCCATAAGGATTAAGGATCCTTCAAGAAATGTATTTTATAGCGAATTTTGGTAGTTATCGATGAAAATTGCAACATTGAAAATTTTATCAAAACTTCAAATATTGTTTTCTCAAAAACTAAAAGTTATTTTTCAAAACGGGTTGGTTCATTGGAAAGAGGACACTTTTATTAACACTTTGGGAAATTTTCATACTCATATTCCAAGAAATGGATTTTATACGAATTTTTAAAACTTAATCGGCGAAAATTGCAAAATTCGAAAAAATTGTCGATCATTTCAAAAATTTATTTCTCAAGAACTGAAAGTGATTTTTCAAAACGGCTTTTTGCATTAAAAAGAGGATACTTTAATTAATAATCGAAAGTGATAACAGCGACAGTTCTGTTAGTAATGAATGTGATGATGAATTACAAGCGAAGAGAAGAAAACTAGACGAAACTGCAACAAGAGTTTCAGAGTTTCAACTCAGACAAACCTGATATAAATAAAGTTGTATTCAAAGAAGAAGTCCTATTGGGGTTGAACTTGATTATTATCCGGCCTGATTTTAAGAAATGGCCGGATACCGAATAGTTGTCGGATATCTGTTCCATCACTACTTGTTGGTATTAGTGCAAATGCGAGTCCATATGAATATTTTTGCTTATTGGTGGATGACGATTTGTGGGATCTTATTGTAATGGAACGAATTGTAAACAAATATGCCGAAAATGAGCTTTGCAAGAATACATCACAGCAGTGGCGAGTAACTCGTTGGAAAGATGTTAACAAGATGTACACTAAAATGCAACGTACTAAAAGATTATTGGAAAACACATTGGTTTAGATGAATCAATACTTTTCTGGAGAGGAAGACTCGTTTTTCGTCAATATATTCAAAACAAACGGCAAACTATGGAATGAAAAATACGAGAAGATGTTCAGCGAATAGTTCCTGATATCTTAGAGAATTTTCAGGAAGAATTTAAAATTAATTTATTAATTTTATTTGTTATTATTTATAATTAAACTGATTATTATTCATGGTTACTGCTATTTTTTCATGTCAAATGAATTTGAAGAAGATTAGTTGTATTTTACTTGGGTGCTACTTTTCCAATATAGAACTAATTGTATATTCCTCTTTTTGATTACAGAAATAAGCCTTTTAATAATTCTTACACCGATGAAACTACATACAGTGTGTTAATTAATTATCGTACCCGACGTCATCATTGCAAGTATGCAACCAATATCACAGTAGTGGTATTACAACATACGATTTCCGTATTGTAATACCAATACTGTGATATTGGTTGCATACTTGTAATGATGACGTCGGGTACGATAATTAATTAACACATTGTACAGGATGGTTCAAATTCGATGTCCTAATAGGCTATCTTAGAAACCATAAGAGTTAGAAAAAAGGTAGATTACATGTCTCGATCTCTTTTTTTAAATAAATTCCAATATCGAAAACCTCAAAACGCCATCGGTTTTTGTATTTCCCCCAGAGGCCAAAATTGAAAATATCGTAAAACCAGCAGGTACAATTAACTTGGTTATAATAATAGGTGGAGTATTATAACTAAGACATTATATGGACACTTTTTTACAGAGAATTTGATGACGTAGTCAAAAATTTTTTTTCGATAGGCCTTTAAGGGAAAAACAAAAGATGATAGCGGTTTGAGGTTTTCGACATTGGAATTTATTTAAAAAAAAAAGAGATCGAGACATGTAAGCTACTTTTTTTTCTAACTCTTTACAGTTTTCGAAATAGCCTATTCGGACATCGAATTTGAACCACCTGTACATAACCCAATATATCAAATCAATTGATTGATTGAAGTGTTAAAGATATTCTTTAGATATCTTGCAGTAAGAATTCAATTCTCAATTATGATTCGTTTTGGTGTTGCAACGGCTAAAACACATTCAACTAATTACCCCGGATTTATTATTAGTTCTTCATCGGTGAACACTGCGCATTAATAAATAAGAATTTTTTATAAACATTTTCATCCTTCTATTTTATCGTATTCACGAGGTATTATATTAATAAATAAAATAAAACAAGGATACATTTTTTTTGTAAAAATATATTTTCCCTCAAAATACAAATCCAAAAATAGGTATTTTAGCACCAAGTCATGTTCGTTTATTGAGTATTTCAAAATAATTTTGTTTTAAATTATAAATTTTTTTAATCACAGCTTACAACAACTTCAAAAAATTACTATACAACCCTAAATTTATTAATTTACATTATTTAATTAACAAAAACATGTTTAATTTAATTTATGTCGCAGTTTCTTGAGTCTCTTTTTCGCTATTTTTACTAAAATCTTTTTCTATCTTTTTCCCAAAATTCTCAGCCTCCTCAATCGTATCCGGTAACTTACAATTAAGTGTTTCCGGTAAAAACCCACATAAAACCGCTCCGATTATAGGAACAATCCCGAATATAGCCGGACCAAGCCATGCAGGTCCTCCGCTCGGTTTTGCAACAAACGGAGCTGACATCGAACCGACTCTTGCAAAAACCGATGCTGTTCCACAACCAACATTTCTTACTATCGTAGGAAACAATTCTCCGGCATAAATATAAACTGTCGGAAAACAGACCGAAAGGGCAAACATTCCGACCGCCCCCAAAGTGGTTTTAATCCACGCTGGATCAGTTGGGGTAAAAGCAACTCCGATACACGCAACTCCAGCTAAGAGATTTGAAAAAATTAACGTTTTTTTACGCCCGAATGTTGCTAACAACCAAACGGAAAGTAAAGTCCCCGGAATTTGTACAACCGCGGAAACTGCAACATTTACAAATTTATCCCCACCAATTTCCCCCATAAATTGAGCAACCCCAAAGAAACATAACCCGCAAACGAACCAATTAAAACATATCGCAATCGTTTTGACGCGTAACGATGGCGTTTTTACTAAAGAAAGAATATTTCCACCTTTAGTTTCTTTCAAGTTCTTCTTTTGAACGTAATTTTCAACGTCCGCTTTAATGCTTTCTCTCGGTAAGCGGTTGTGATGGGCCGCTTTTTCTAAAATAGCGACCGCCTTTTCCGTTTCGCCGACCGCTAATAACCATCTCGGAGATTCCGGGAGCACCCAATAATAAGCGAATAAAACAACCGAACTAATCGAGATTACAAATTGATTTAAACGCCAATCTCTTAGAAGATACGCGATCAACGGTAACGATAAATGACCCAAATTAAAAGGAATTTGATATAAAATTCCTACGGTTGTTCTCCATTTTAAACCTAAAATAACAAATTAATTAGTATACGAGTATTACGAGTAGTGTTAAATTGATGTTTTTTACCAACTAATTCCATGATTAAAACGAAACTCGTCATCATAGTCCCTCCTGTTGCTGTTGTGCAGATGAAACGAAGAAGGATGTGGACCCAAAACCATGGAACGATAGCTGCAGCGCAACCGGAAACCGTTTGGATCATTACTGCTGCTACTAATGGGCCGCGACGACCATATCTTAAAGGAAATATATTTAAAGGGAAATCGATAATGAGATGATTTAGATTGCCATCTATCAGCTCTTTGTGTACTACAAAGACGTGTTAAAGACATTTTAAGCTTAGAGTGACTTTGATAATGATAGTTAACTCGATGAACTCTTCTCAACTCAGAATTTGTGTTAATTAAATTAGACCTAGAACTAGAAACATTTGGGTTTTGCCGTCTAAAGAGACGCATGGCTAAACCCGGATGTTTCTAGTTCTAGGTCTAGTGTTAGTTCTAGTGACAGTGCTAGTGTAAAACTAGAACTAACACTATACCTAGAACTAGAATCATTTGGGTTTAGCCGTACGTCTCTAAAGACGGCTAATCCCGAATGATTCTAGTTCTAGGTATAGTGTTAGTTCTACATAGTAACAGTGTTAGTGTAAAACTAGAACTAACACTAGACCTAGAACTAGAAATATTCGGGTTTAGTCGCGCGTCTGAGGACGGCTAAACCGGAAACTTTCTAGTCTAGGTCTAGTCGAGACGATAATATCTGCATAATAACAGTGCTAGTGTAAAACTAAAACAAACACTATACCTAGAACTAGAATCAGTTGGGTTTAGCCCCACGTCTCTTAAGACGGCTAAACCCAAATGATTCTAGTTCTAGGTATAGTGTTAATTCTAGTTTTACACTAGTATTGTTACTATGTAGAACTAATACAATACCTAGAACTAGAATCATTTGGCTTTAGCCGCACATCTCTAAAAACGGCTAAACCCGAATGATTCTAGTTCAAGGTCTAGTGTCAGTTCTAGTTTTATTTGTCATTCAGTGCTAGGTTATTGGGTATTTTTGTTGATGTAAAAGTAGAACTAACACTAGACCTAGAACTAAAAACAGTCGCAAGTATAAAATTAGAACTAATGCTAGACTTAGAACTAGAAACATTCGGGTTTAGCCGTCTTTAGAGAGGTGCGGCTAAACCCGAATGATTCTAGTTCTTTGTATAGTGTTAGTTCTGCATAATAACAGTGCTAGTGTAAAACTATAACTAACACTATACCTAGAACTAGAATCATTTGGGTTTAGCCGCACGTCTCTAAAGACAGTTACACCCGAATGTTTCTAGTACTAGGTCTAGTGTTAGTTCTAGTTTTACACTTGCACTATCACTAGAACTAACACAAGACCTAGAATCATTCGGGTTTAGCTGTCTTTAGAGACGTGCGGCTAAACCCAAATGATTCTAGTTCTAGGTATAGTGTTAGTTCTAGTTTTACACTAGCACTGTTACTTTGGGTTTAGCCGTCTTTAGAGACGTGCGGCTAAACCCAAATGATTCTAGTTCTAGGTATAGTGTTAGTTCTAGTTTTACACGAGCACTGTTACTATGTAGTAATCATTCGGCTTTTTTAGCCGTCTTATGAGACGTACGGCTAAACCCGAATGTTTCTAGTTCTGATAGTGCAAGTGTAAAACTAAAACTAACATTAGAACTAGAAACGCGCGTCTGAAGACCTAGCTGCTAGTCTGAAATATTTGGCATGAAACTAATACCAAACAAAATAGTACGACCTCACTTTTTTTCATTGCACATGTTTTCTCCCACAGACTTCCATAACATCACAACTTGTATGATTGTAAATTGATGATCAGCAGATGGATGGCTTAACTCGTTGTTGACAAATTTTTTATTAAACTTAGTTTTATATGTAAAGGTGGTAAAAGTACTCTGGTGGACTCGACAAGAAAACATTATTTTCTCCATGAGTGAGACGCTTTGGCCAGTCTTTTTGCTGCACCAATTTCATGTTTTCCTAAGTTTCGTTCATACCGGAAGCATGTGCCACCGGAACAGAGGAAAATCTATTTCCATTATGCAATAGTACAGCTTTTAAATTGGTTTTTGACGAATCTATAAACAAACGCTGATCTACTAGTTCAAATCAAAAAACAACACACCTTAGCATCTGGATGAAGCAAATTCCATTCTTTAAATCTAGATCCTAATAGTTCAGACTGCTTTTTTGACAACCAAATCATAAAATCATGTGCCTCTTCAGACGCACGGCTAAACCCGAAACTTTCTAGTTCTAGACCTAGTGTTAGTTCTAGTTTTACTTGTCATTCAGGTTGTTAGGTATTTTTATTGAACACTAGACCTAAAACTAGAAACAGTCGTTTCACTATGGGGCAGGGAATCTTATTTCCAGGAAAAAGAAATATTTTTCTGGATTTCTTTAGTTACTTTTATAAAGTGTCTATCGACAACCTATACAATGTCCCATTACAAATTTGTGAGGTCAAAATATATCGATTTAACAAAACATATCCCAGTAATCCGAAATCCAATACATTGCTAGTTACAACTTTTTGAAAATAACTATTTTCAAAGAGAGTTTTGTAAGAAAAACGGCTGGAATCACGCCGTTTCTCTTCTTCTTTTGGCTTCCGGCAAGGAGGTTCAACTGTTTGTCTTTCAAATTTTACAACAAGATTCCAGTGAGAATCAGAAGGCTTCCATTAAATAAGTTTAAATGTAGTATTAAGTCATTTTTACAGAAAAAGGCCTATTACGCGTCATAACTACACTCGCCAAACTCTAAATTGATAGAAAATGTTCATAATAATGTTGTCTAAACTGTATACTGTCAGAAAATGTCTATGATTATACTGACCAACCTCAAAACTGCCAGAAAAAGTTCATAATTATATTGACCAAACTGTACACTGACAGAAAATGTCCAGGATTATGCTGATGAAATAAAAACTCCCAGAATAAGTTCATAATCATACTGGCCAAACTCTAAACTGACAGGAAAGGTCCATAATTATGTTGTCCAAACTGTGCACTGTCAGAAAATGTCTGGGATTATACTAACCAAACTCAAAACTGCCAGAAAAAGTTCATAATTATATTAAAAAAACTGTACACTGTCAGAAAATGTCCAGGATTATGCTGATCAAATAAAAACTACCAGAAAAAGTTCATAATCATACTGGCCAAACACTAAACTGACAAAAAAGGTTTATAATTATGTTGTCCAAACTGTACACTGTCAGAAAATGTCTGGGATTATATTGACGAACCTCAAAACTGCCAGAAAAAGTTCATAATTATATTGACCAAACTGTACACTGTTAGAAAATGTCCAGGATTATGCTGATAAAATAAAAACTCCCAGAAAAAGTTCATAATTATATTGGCCAAACTCTAAGTTGACAGAAAAGGTTCATAATTATGTTGTCCAAACTGTACACTGTCAGAGAATGTCTGGGATTATACTGACCAACCTCAAAACTGCCAGAAAAAGTTCATAATTATACTGGCCAAACTCTAAATTGACAGAAAAGGTTCATAATTATATTGTCCAAACTGTACACTGTCACAAAATGTCTGGGATTATACTGACCAATCTCCAAACTGCCAAAAAAAGTTCATAGTTATATTAACCAGACTGTACACTGTCACAAAATGTTCAGGATTATGTTGATCAAACTCTAAACTGCCAGAAACAGTTCATAATTATACTGCCCAAACTCTAAACTGACAGAAAAGATTCATAATCTTGTTATCTTTATAGTTATGTTACGCTATTTTTCATGATGATGTTTATATATTTTTGTTCTATTTTTAGTTGTAATTTTCGAGGCACAGTTTTTTCCGGGTTTATCCTGTTTTCAAGCGAGCTATCTGATTAATTTTTGTTTTGCGATAAAAACTGATTTTTTTCTCCTTTGAGTCCTATTCCGTTATATATTTAACGTACTTTTGAGGACAAAATTTACTATCTTTTATATCGTTTTGAACAAAATCCATTTTTTTAGTCTTATTCTCACAAGTGTTAAACATTAAAAGAGTGATTTTCTTAATGAAGATCTTTGGTGGGTTAGACATAAAAACTACTAGAAACTTTCTAGTTCTTGGTCTAGTGTTACTTCTAGTTTTACTTGTCATTCAGTTCCAGGTTGTTGGGTATAATAATCCTAACACTAGGTCTAGTGTTGGATCTAGTGACAGTGCGAAATAGCGCTAGGTAACACTAGATGGCGCTATGTCGTTATATATTCTTATTGAGCTAAAACTAAAACTAGATTTAGAACTAGAAACATTCGGGTTTAGCCATCTTGAGAAACCCACGGCTAAACCCGAATGTTTCTAGTTCTAAGCTTACTGTTAGTTTTAGTGAGAGTGTTAAGTAGCGCTACGTAATACTAGATGGCGCTAGGTTGTTGTATATTTTTCTATGTAAGTAGTCTATAATAAAATTACGACGAAAAAAAAAACTTATTACCTATCAGAAATCATTCCAAAAATGACAGCACCAGCTAAAATCCCCAACATCGTCGCCATTTGAACCACATTATTCAATTGGTATTTATCACAAACTAAATCCCATTGCATCGTGATCGTTTGGGTGAAAATCGACCTAAAAAACCGTAACTAAAAATAATAACAAAGTCGGATTTTGACAAAACATCTTTAATTTAATTAACTTTTTTGTTTGACTATTTTTTACCTGTCAAAAACATGCTCTGGACATTCTTTCGAACACGCATCGGTTATATTTGGGTCACTACACGTAAATTCTGGCGTCGGAGCTTGAAAAACTACGCTCAGTTGGTGCCAGGCTATCGAAAATTTACACGCCATCGTCCACAAAACCACCCACCAGTGCCAACGTCCGAAAATCCCGATGGATTTTTGGATAACATCACCTTCAACCATTTCATTATTTCCTGCAACAGCACAATAAAAAGGAAATTTTTATTTTGCTACGACAATTATGTATTGAAACGAATGATTTAATCATTTATGTAATCGTTAAGAAAAATATGTTTTTTTTTTTAAGTGAGGATAAATAATAATAATGTAGAGGTCATTAAGTTAAAGATTTTATTCGTTTTAAGTAAATTTCTTGTCAACTTGTTAACTTGTTTTATCCGCTCCATAAAAAAATCCAACAATTAAAAAACCTATAAAAACAATATTATTACCAATAACAAATCGTAAAACAATGAAAAATTAAAAATAACTTTGATTGCTTAAAAAGAAAAATTTATCGGCATACTTGAAATAATAATCGCACAATGCTGAGATTGATTTCTATAGAACATACTTATTATATAGTAATTTAAATCTTCCTACATACACACTTTTTAAATAATAATTATATGGTATTAGATCTCGCGTGATCAATTTGTTCCGAGAGGAGTCGAAAGTGTTGTGGCCCCGAAGAGAAAATGTTTATTAACTTTTAATGAGATAAAAACACTTTGAACTCTTTTAAGAACCCCCCTCTTCAAGACATCTACTTACATCCGTTTGAACTTTGACTTAAACAACGTTCAATATGTTTTCAAATAGAAATGTAAATAAGTCTTAAATTTGATAACTTAATTATTACAAAAAACTAAGACAAATGAAAACGTAATAACGTAGAAAGTTATAAGTGAAGTATATAAATTGGTCATAAAACGAATTTTTAAAACAGTAATCTACCGTATTTGAAACTTTCTCTTCGCGTTTTGTTTTGTTATGTTTTTTTAAGAGATTAATATGGTTGTGCTGTTTTAATTATTTTGTTATTTGATATTGATCAGGAAATATAACCGTGGATGTTAAAATAACAAACAACGGAATTGTAGGGATCGAAAATATTTAAAAATATTGTGTTATGAGTGAACTGCGTTTTAATGAATTGTAATTTGAGGATTAAAATGTTCATTTTTAAACTTCTTTATGAATCATTATTAAAAATTTATTAAAACATATAATATATCAATACAAATGCTAATCGATTTACAACAATATCAAGAGTGATTAATTATGTGTATAGTGATCTACATCTATACTATATCGATATAGAAATTAACTGGTTTATAATGATATTAAGAGGGGCTAAGCCGAGGACGCTTGCGGCCGAGGCGCTACATTGGTGCTACATCAATAGAAAAACTAATCAGTTTAAAACAATATCAACAGTGATTAAGCCGAGGTCGCTCGCGGCCGAGGCTCTACATCTACACCATATAGATACAACAACTAACCCGTTTTCAACGAAATTAAGAGTAATTAAGCCGAGGTCGCTTGCGGCCGAGGTTCTACATCTATACCATATCGATATAAAAACTAACTGGTTTATAATGATATCAAGAGTGAATAAGCAGAGGTCTCTTGCGACCGAGGTACTACATTGATACCATATCAATAGAAAAACTAATCTGTTGACAAAAATATCAACAGTGATTAAGCCGAGGTCGCTTGCGGCCGAGGCTCTACATCTATACCATATCGATATAAAAACTAACTGGTTTATAATGATATTAAGAGGGAGTAAGCCGAAGTCGCTTGCGGCTGAGTCGCTACATTGCTACCATACCAACAGCAAAACTAATCTGTTTACAACAATATCAACAGTAATTAAGTCGAGTTTGCTTGTGGACGAGGCTCTACATCTACATCATATCGATATAACAACTAAACCGTTTTCAACGATATTAAGAGGAATTAAGCCGAGGTCGCTTGCGGCTGAGGCTCTACATCTACAGTGTGACCCATTTGCAAGCGGAGCACCCTCGTAAAATCTGTATTTATTACCCGATTTCGACAAATTTTTTTTTGAATTGTAGAGCGTAAGAAACTGTACCTTAGGTCAAAGAGTCATATTTTTCTTGAAAAAACCAAGGCCTACTATTTCACTTTTTAGGTGCTAAAAATGAAGAAATCATATTAAGAAATTTTTTACAAAAAATCTGAGTACACTGCATTAAGCGCCTTTTGAAATGGGTATATACCAAATTTCATCAAAAATGGTTACAAATTAACACCGTTCAGATAATTGAAAAATATAATTTTTTATCAATTAATTTCATCTGTAACAAATGTAAACAGTTTTTGTATTATTGTCGGTGTTTTATTAACTTTTTTGTCATGGTTTACTAGATCAAATCAAATAAATTCATAAAAAATGATATTTTTCAATTATCTGCAACGGTTTTAATTTGTAACCATTTTTGATGAAACTTGGTATATACCCATTTCAAAAGGCGCTTAATGTAGTGTACTGAGATTTATTCTAAAAAATTTCCTAATATGATTTCTTCATTTTTAGCATCTAAAAAGTGAAATAGTAGGCCTTGGTTTTTCTAAGAAAAACATGACTCTTTGTCCGAAGGTACAGTTTTTTATGGTCTACAATTCAAAAAAAAATTGTGTCATACTGTATATTATAATATATATTATAATATACATACATTATAATATATATATATTATGTCATACTATATATTATAATAGGTCACACTGTATATTATATCGATATAAAAACTAACTGGTTAATAATGATATCAAGAGGGAGTAAGCCGAGGTCGTTTGCGGCCGAGGCGCACCGTTGGTACCATACCAATAGCAAAATTAATCTGTTTACAGCTTAATCAACAGTGATTAAGCCGAGGTCGCTTGCGGCCGAGGCTCTACGTCTATACCATATCGATATAAAAACTAACTGGTTTATAATGATATTAAGAGGGAGTAAGCCGAGGTCGCTTGCGGTCAAGGTGCCACATCGGTACCATATCAATAGAAAAGCTAATCTGTTTACCACAATATCAACAATGATTAAGCCGAGGTCGCTTGCGGCCGAGGCTCTACATCTATACCATATCGATACAACAACTAACGTGTTTTCAACGATATTAAGAGTAATTAAGCCGATGTCACTTGCGGCCGAGGCTCTACATCTATACTATATCGATATAAAAACTAACTGGTTTATAATGATATCAAGAGTGAATAAGCCGAGGTCTCTTGCGACCAAGGCTCTACATCTATACCGTATCGATATAAAAATTAACTGGTTTATAATGATATCAAGACTATTAAGAGTGATTGATACGGTATCAATAGAAAAACTAATCTGTTGAAAACAATATTAACAGTGATAAGCCGAGGTCGCTTGCGGCCGAGGCTTTACATCTATGGTATAGATCAACGGTGGCCAAACTGCGGCTCGCGAGCCACATGCGGCTCTTTGAAGGATTATTTGTGGCTCTTGATAAATGTACCGAATGAGTTACTTCAGGGTTCTACCAGCATTGTTAGATGATTTTTTGGCTATGATTGTTTCGGGTTGATGTGATTTGGGTTTCGAGTACCTTTTTTTTTACTATATTTGATATAATTTCTGTAAAAAAATGTTTTGTAATACTCTTTGCATACCGTTTTAATATATACGTATTTAATTGCGTATATATGCGGCTCGCGAAAAATTTCAATTGAAAAATGGGTCGGACTATCAAAGAGCTTGGCCACCCCTGGTATAGACATAGGCCTCTACACTGTCAGAAAATGTGTGGGATTATACTGACCAAGCACAAAACTGCAAGAAAAAGTTCTTAATTATATTGGCTAAACTGTACACAATCAGAAAATGTCCAGGATTATGCTGATCAAATAAAAATTCCTAGAAGAAGTTCATAATTATACTGACCAAACTCTAAACTGACAGAAAAGGTTCATAATTGTTGTCCAAACTGTACACTGTCAGAAAATGTCTGGGATTATACTGACCAACCTCAAAACTGTCAGAAAAAGTTTATTATTATTTGGCAATTATATTGGCTAAACTGTACAGGTGTCCCAATTTCGTTGTGCGCATAGGTTATCTCCGAAACTAAAAGAGATAGAAACAAAGTAGCTTACATGTCATGATCCCGTCTTTCGAGAAAATGCTAATGCCGAAAACTCCGAACAGCTATCGTCTTTTGTTTTCACCTTATCGGCAAAAACTGAAAAATTTACAAGAACGACAATCGCGAATAGCTCACTTATCATCAAAGATGGAGTATTATAAATAAAACATTATGGCGGTAACTTTTTACGAAGAATTCAGTAGAATAGGTAGAATTTCTTTCCCATCTTGTATTTTCGAGATTTTAGATGTAGCTTTAATTTTTTGAATGGAAACTATAGTTGGCTATAACCTAAAATAATTTGTTATTTTCTTCTGGTAACAAATATATATAGTTTGTGGGCTATATTTCTTATAGTTATTGAATAATTAACAAAAATTCATTTTGTTCTTTCTAAAACCAATGTATGTATTTAAAAATTAATGTTGTTATGATGATACCCTACCAAGATAGAAAACATTGTTTTCAATTATTGCTAAAGTTTGTAGTAGTATTTAAAAATTCACTAACAACTCTGGCATTATCGGGGTAATAACAGGGTATCTCAGTTATTATGAAAGATAGAAAGTTGCGGCTTTCGCGAACCTGAGCTATTTTTTTCTGAAACTTACAATGGCGCAAACCAAATTTTCATAGCCCTCTTCATTTTTGATATACAGGAGTGTTTGGAAAATCCGGAAACATAGTAAGAAAGTAAAAACGGGTTCTAATAGATTTTTTCACGTGGAATCCAATGGTGCACGTAGAATTTTTCTAAATTAACCGAAAAGGTTCATAATTATGTTGTCCAAAATGTACACTGTCAAAAAAGTCTGGTATTATACTGACCAACCTCAAAACTGACAGAAAACTTTCATAATTATATTGGCTAAACTGTACACTGTCAGAAAATATCCAGGATAAAGCTGATCAAATAGAAACTCTCAGAAAAAGTTCATAATTATACCGGCCAAACTGTAAACTGACAGAAAAGGTTCATAATTATGTTGTCCAAACTGTACAGTGTCAAAAAATGTCTGGGATCATACTGACCAACCTCAAAACTGCCAGAAAAAGTTCATAATTATATTGGCCAAACTATATACTGTCAGAAAATGTCCAGACTTATGCTGATCTAACTCAAATCTGCTAGAAAAAGTTCATAATCTTGTCAGCTTTATATATTATATTTATATTTTTATTCTATTTTCGAAATAATAAGTAATTTTCGAGGCACAGTTATTTCTGGGATTATCCAGAGCAGGACAATCCCAGAAATGCCCAATTTGGTGTGTAAATAAAAATAAATAAATAATTATGTTGGCCAAACTGTACATTGTCAAATAGTTACCAGAATGTTTATTGTATGAAAATAATAAACAATGTTTTATTCAAAGTATTGCCATCGATGGCTATACATTTTTGCCACCTGATTTGTTGGGGATTCAATTAGACATATATATTTGCTGTCCAGGTTATCAACTTGGTCGATGTTTTCTTGGCTGTTAAAAACAGTGCACAAGTTGAGGTAACCACTGAGAAAGTCATCGAGAAAGGTAAAGAATGATAATTGAGGCACACCTTGGTGGAATGAATGAAAGTTACTCAACCCTAAAAGAAAAGATGTTCGGCGAATTTTTAACTGAGATAAAATATTGGACGTATGGTTTTAAAGAAAAAAATAGTTTTCTCCTATATGGTTAAGAATTAGTAAATGAAAGTTTTTGAGGTTATAAAGGAACCCTGGCGATTACTTTATACGAATTTTTTAGTTTATGAGATCAAAATTTTTTTTAATATAAATTTCGCCGATTTGATGATCGTTAAAATGTGGTTAAAGAAAAAAATGTTTTTATCTAAAACTGTTACTAATTAAGTTATTAATATTATTAAGTTATTTATAAAGGAAGGTTTGTCCCAAAATAACAGAAATTTTATTAACACTTCTTCCTGTATGACAATTTATAGATGTGTCATAAAGTTTCAGCAATTTCAGCCGCATACTGAAGCTATTGCTGCAATTCAATAGGAATCTCCAAAAGGACATTTACGGTTCATATTGGGTATCGAATTAATCCGGAAATTGTGCATTACGAAATAATAATCCATTTGACTAATCCTCATTGTTAAATGCTACTTAGGTTGTAACAAATTCGCGAATAAATAATTTGAATTAGGGAATCAAGAGGAATAAATGAAAAAAAATTTTAGAATCGGAGATGAAATTTGAGGTAAATTCGTTAATCGGAAGTCGCGAACAATACGTTATGCAATCCTTTATAATCGTGAACAACATTATAAAATAAAATCCAAATCAAATCGCGTGACTAAAAGTGATACATTTCCTGAACATCAAAACGAGAAAAAGTTTCTTTTAATAACCAAAAAAAGTTTTTCGATCGATAAAATTATAAAAATAGAAAGTAATTATTAACGCCGACTTTCAAAAATTCGTCGTATCTTAAACGCATTCTTTAAAAATCGAATTTAACCGAGGAAAGATCGATAAAAAATTCAATGGAAAGGGAGACATTGACTTCTTCCTTTATTATCATTTTAAACAGTTATATAAAGCTGGGCGAGGATCATTAAAATACAAGGCACAACTTAACGCGAACTTCATGAAGTTATAAAATATTCGTTTTTGTCCTTTTAATGAAGGCTGTCCTTTCTGTTTCAAGGAGATAAAAGTAAAAAGCGTTGTAAAGTTTTTAGCTTTAATAAATATAAACAAAAAAATCGGAGAAATGAATTGGTTCAAAACACTTATATAAAAGCGATTGATTTGTAAACACTTATTAGTTTAGGAACAGTCTATAATTGATGGATAAATTGATAGAAAGCGAACAATTCGAGATTAGAAATGTTTGATATTATCTAAATTAAAAATTATTTGATTTATATTTAGATAATGTCCTAAAAGATTAAGATATTAATAAATAAACAATTTAATAAACAAAAATTTTTAAGATTTATTAACTTTTAAGTTCGAAGTAGTTCAAAAATTTCAAAAACAAAAAAAAGCTTGGAATTGGAATTATTACAGAAGTTTTAGCCGAGATAAGACTATTTATAAACTCACAATGAATCGCCTTTATCACTTTTTTCTTTTAACAAGAACAAGAAGTAAAGTTAAAAGTTCTTAAGTAGTTTATACTTCGAGTTATGAGATCATTAAAATCAAACAATTCCAAGATATTGAACTTTAACAAAAAAACTTTTCCTACTATATTTTTGCGTTAATTTAAAAACTTAATTCTTAATTAAGCGTTAATTTAGAGCTGGTTATCACCTATTTAAGGTTGAATGAAAGTGTGTCAATATCGGGTTATTAAATATCGTAAATATCACACCAAAAAGTAATAAAGAAAAAATTTTTTTTCGTTTTTGATCTTACCTTGCGTTTCAGTCACGGCCATCTGGAAAGAATCAAAGAGAAGCAAGAACTTTTTAAGATAAAATCAATCGCTGGTTAAAACTGTTTTAAAAGATCCCAAGAAATCGGCGCGCTGGGACACAGAGAAACGATGAAGGTCTCTTTTAAAAAAACCCGCGCGAACTCTCTCTCTTTTAAACTCATACGAGAATTGAAACTATTTTTCTTTAACCTAGTACGCGAGGACGAGATTCGTTTTCGGTTCGGAGTCGAACGAACGACTGCCGTACTTGAAAACGTCGAGGTTTTATCGTATCTCGCGGATTAAAACCTTCCACTGCTTCCACTACAAAGAGCAAGAAGTAGAGTGAGAGAGAAATGTTTTGTTAGTGGGGCTTTTTTTTGTATTCACTTTGGTTCACTTTGGTTTTACTGCGGTTCCACTTCTTCAAGAGTTTAAACAGAAACGTGGTTGATAAAGAACACGCGCAAACACGTAGTTGGGGATTTCTGGTGATCTTTTCTAATTATTGACGCGATGCGTAAGTTAAAATAGATTGAAAGATTTTGTTACGTTTACAAAATTCCTGGAAGAATAAATAATTAACTCCGTCTATTTAAATTAATTTTAGAAGAAAGAGAAAGGTTTGAGAATTAGGTTAAACGTGGGTCATTAACTTTTTTGACTTACAATTTTTTTTTTGTGAAATTTCCCCGAACTTTGATCTTTGTTTCAACCTAAATTTTTACTATTTTATACTCTAAACCATCAAACACGATTGAAATACCAAATATGTTGTTGTAATATAAGTGATAATTAAAAATAAATTATATGACCTTGAAATGAATGTTATAATTACGGCCGAGACGCTACAACCGAAGCACTTTAAGAAAAGCCGTAGTTTTAACTTTTCTCAACTATTTTTATGGATTTTTAATGATTACCAGGTTGTCAGTATATTTCTAGAAATAACTACGTCATCTCAAGTTTTTCAAGTTAAGTTTTCAATTATTTTGAGAAAATTCGTGGAATTTCTGAGAAGAATTTCTGATATCCTAGAAATTCTTGGAATAACGTTTATTTGTAACAATTTTCAAGTCTCTTTTAGAATTTCCAGACAACTTTATTTACTTTTCGGAGAGATTCTAAGGATTGCCAAAGATTTGTAGGGATTTTTAACGATTTTTGTAGTTTCCTAAATACTTAGAAGCTGACATCAAAGACTTGCAAGAAGATTGCAGAGAGCTCGCAAAAATTTACAAAGTTATCCAAGGATTTCCAAATATTTTCATGGATTTTTAATGATTGCCAGGTTGTCAGTATGTTTCTAGAAATAACTGCGTCATCTCAAGTTTTTCAAGTTAAGTTTTCAAGGATTTTGAGAGAATTCGTGGAATTTTTGAGAAGAATTTTTGATATTCTAGAAATTTACTTTTTTAAAAATTTAATTTTTTTTAAAATTTATACTTTAATTGCTTTTCGGAGAGATTATAAGGATTGCCAAAGCTTTGTAGGGATTTTTAACGATTCCTGCAGTTTCTTAAATACTTAGAGGTTGCCTTCCAATAGTTGCAAAAAGATTCCAGAGAGCTTGCAAAGATTTACCAAGTTATCCAAGGATTTCCAACTATTTTCATGGATTTTTAATGATTGCCAGGTTGTCAGTATATTTCTAGAAATAACTACCTCATCTCAAGTTTTTCAAGCTAAAATTTTCAAAAATTTTGAGAGGATTCGAGGAATTTTTGAGAAGAATTTCTGATATCCTAGAATTTTTAGGGATAATGTTTATTTATAACAATTTTCAAGTCTCTTTTAGAATTCTCAAAAAACTTTAATTGCTTTTCGGAGAGATTCTAAGGATTGCCAAAACTTTATAGGGATTTTTAACGATTCATGTAGTTTCCTAAATACATAGAGGTTGACTTGAAAGACTTGCAAAAAGATTCCAGAGAGCTAGCAAAGATTTACAAAGTTATCCAAAGACTTCCAACTATTTCCATGGATTTTTAATGATTGCCAGGTTGTCAGTACATTTCTAGAAATAACTACGTCATCTTAAGTTTTTCAAGTTAAGTTTTCAAGAATTTTGATAGGATTCGTGGAATTTCTGAGAAGGATATCTGATGTCCTCGAAATTCTTGGGATAACGTTTATTCGTAACAATTTTCAAGTGCTTTTTAGAATTCCCAGAAAGCTTTAATTACTTTTCGGAGAGATTCTAAGGATTGCCAAAGCTTTATAGGGATTTTTAACGATTCCGGTAGTTTCCTAAATACTTAGAGGTTGACTTCTAAAACTAGCAAAAAGTTTCCAGAGAGCTTGCAAAGATTTACAAAGTTATCAAAGTATTTCCAACTATTTTCATGGATTTTTAATGATTGCCAAGTTGTCAGTATATTTCTAGAAATAACTATGTCATCTCAAGTTTTTCAAGTTAAGTTTTCAAGGATTTTGAGAAGATTCGTGAAATCTCTGAAAAGAATTTCTGATATCCTAGAATTTCTAGGAATAATGTTTATTTGTAACAATTTTCAAGTGTCTTTTAGAATTCCCAGAAATCTTTAATTGCTTTTCGGAGAGATTCTAAGGATTGCCAAAGCTTTGTAGGGATTTTTAACGATTGCTGTAGTTTCCTAAATATTTAGAAGTTGACATCTAAGACTTGCAAAAAGATTCCAGAGAGCTTGCAAAGATTTACAAAGTTATCAAAAGATTTCCAACTATTTTCATGGATTTTTAATGATTGCCAGGTTGACAGTATATTTCTAGAAATAACTACGTCATCCCAAGTTTTTCAAGTTAAGTTTTCAAGGATTTTGAGAGAATTCGTGGAATTTCTAAGAAGAATTTTTGATATTCTAGAAATTCTAAGGATAATGTTTATTTGTAAAAATATTCAAGTCTCTTTTAGAATTCCCAGAAAACTTTAATTGCTTTTCGGAGAGATTCTAAGGATTGCCAAAGCTTTGTAGGGATTTTTAACGATTCATGTAGTTTCCTAAGTACATAGAGGTTGACTTCTAAGACTTGCAAAAAGATTCCAGAGAGTTTGCAAAGATTTACAAAGTTATCCAAGGATTTTCATGGATTTTTAATGATTGCCAGGTCGTCAGTATAATTCTAGAAATAACTACGTCATCTCAAGTTTTTCAAGTGAAGTTTTCAAGGATTTTGAGAGGATTCGTGGAATTTCTGAGAAAAATTTCTGATATCCTAGCAATTCTAGGGATAATGTTTATTTGTAACAATTTTCAAGTCTCTTTTAGAATTCCCAGAAAACTTTAATTGCTTTTCGGAGAGATTGTAAGGATTGCCAAAGCTTTGTAGGGATTTATAACGATTCCTGTAGTTTCCTAAATACTTAGAGGTTGATTTCTAAGACTTGCAAAAAGATTCCAGAGAATTTGCAAAGATTTACAAAGTTATCCACGGATTTCCAACTATATTCATGGATTTTTAATGATTGCCAGGTTGTCAGTATATTTCTAGAAATAAGTAAGTCATCTCCAGTTTTTCAAGTTAAGTTTTCAAGGTTTTTGAAAGGATTCGTGGAATTTCTGAGAAGAATTTCTGATATCCTAGAAATTTTAGGGATAATGTTTATTTGCAACAATTTTCAAGTCTCTTTTAGAATTCCCAGAAAACTTTAATTGCTTTTCGGAGAAATTCTAATAATTGCCAAAGCTTAGTAGGCATTTGTAACGATTCCTGTAGTTTCCTAAATACTTAGAGGTTGACTTCTAAGACTTGCAAAAAGATTCCAGAGAGCTTGCAAAGATTTACAAAGTTATCAAAAGATTTCCAACTATTTTCATGGATTTTTAATGATTGCCAGGTTGACAGTATATTTCTAGAAATAACTACGTCATCCCAAGTTTTTCAAGTTAAGTTTTCAAGGATTTTGAGAAGATTCGTGGAATTTCTGAGAAGAATTTCTGATAACCTAGAAATTCTAGGGATAATGTTTATTTGTAACAATTTTCAAGCCTCTTTTAGAATTCCCAGAAAACTTTAATTGCTTTTCGGAGAGATTCTAAGGATTGCCAAAGCTTTGTAGGGATTTTTAACGATTCATGTAGTTTCCTAAGTACATAGAGGTTGACTTCTAAGACTTGCAAAAAGATTCCAGAGAGTTTGCAAAGATTTACAAAGTTATCCAAGGATTTTCATGGATTTTTAATGATTGCCAGGTCGTCAGTATAATTCTAGAAATAACTACGTCATCTCAAGTTTTTCAAGTGAAGTTTTCAAGGATTTTGAGAGGATTCGTGGAATTTCTGAGAAAAATTTCTGATATCCTAGCAATTCTAGGGATAATGTTTATTTGTAACAATTTTCAAATCTCTTTTAGAATTCCCAGAAAACTTTAATTGCTTTTCGGAGAGATTGTAAGGATTTCCAAAGCTTTGTAGGGATTTATAACGATTCCTGTAGTTTCCTAAATACTTAGAGGTTGACTTCTAAGACTTGCAAAAAGATTCCAGAGAATTTGCAAAGATTTACAAAGTTATCCACGGATTTCCAACTATATCCATGGATATTTCTAGAAATAAGTAAGTCAACTCCAGTTTTTCAAGATAAGTTTTCAAGGATTTTGAAAGGATTCGTGGAATTTCTGAGAAGAATTTCTAATATCCTAGAAATTTTAGGGATAATGTTTATTTGCAACAATTTTCAAGTCTCTTTTAGAATTCCTAGAAAACTTTAATTGCTTTTCGGAGAGATTCTAAGGATTGCCAAAGCTTTGTAGGGATTTTTAACGATTCCTGTAGTTTCCTAAATACTTAGAGGTTGACTTCTAAGACTTGCAAGAAGATTCCAGACAGCTTGCAAAGATTTACAAAGTTATCCAAGGATTTCCAACTATTTCCATGGATTTTTAATGATTGCTAGGTTGTCAGTATATTTCTGGAAATAACTAGGTCATCTTAACTTTTTCAAGTTAAGTTTTTAAGGATTTTGAGAGGATTCGTGGAATTTCTGAGAAAAATTTCTGATATCCTAGAAATTCTAGGGATAATGTTTATTTGTAACAATTTTCAAGTCTCTTTTAGAATTCCCAGAAAACTTTAATTGCTTTTCGGAGAGATTGTAAGGATTGCCAAAGCTTTGTAGGGATTTATAACGATTCCTGTAGTTTCCTAAATACTTAGAGGTTGATTTCTAAGACTTGCAAAAAGATTCCAGAGAATTTGCAAAGATTTACAAAGTTATCCACGGATTTCCAACTATATTCATGGATTTTTAATGATTGCCAGGTTGTCAGTATATTTCTAGAAATAAGTAAGTCATCTCCAGTTT